AAATGTGTAGATGCAAACATTCACATTTTATTGATTTGACCAATGATTTCAATTATTATTCTGTAGGTCTTCAAATTTACTGTTAAGCTGATTGTCAGTCTCAGTTTTGCTCACTGTGCAGTCATCTTGATGCTTAACCTATCTTTTCATCTGCAAAAGATTAAACCCTGCTTTGTGTTGCACTTCATAGGCTGTATATCATATTAGTTAATAATTATGAAACCAGAATGTTGTTGTTTCTTCCATATGGGCTGGGGCAGCTCTTCAGCTAATGTAAACTGTTACAGCTCTAGCAAAGCTGGAAGACCTTTCTCACTAAGTCTCCTTATTCTAAGCAGGGATCTGGATTATGTAGCAGGTTTAAATAGTATATATTGACCTGCATTTTTGCTTTTACAAACAAGTAACAGAAAATGAAAGTCAATTTCCTCTTTTAAAATCAGAGTGAAAAATCTTTTATAACGCAATCTTTTTTTGCTATGCATAGATTACTATTTATCCAGCAAATATCTCTGTAAAAGCTCATTTGAAAGGATAATTCTAAAACTTTCCAGGTACTTAAAATGATCAAATTTTAATCAATAATTTTATCCTGAACCTCTTAGGTGGGAGAAAATTCAGAGCACAGCAGACCTTGCTCATTGTGCTGGTTCCCAGGAAACTGGTTTGTTTGGCTGCTGAATTTAGCTAGCTGGTGTGTGCATATGACCACTTCCTGGCAGATGTTCAGATCCAGTAAGATTTCTGTAATTGTGTACCCAGAGGGGAAGAGGCAAATGGTTTGAACCCATAAGGACTTCAGTTTTAATTTGGGAACGTGAGGGTTGAATGCTACAAAAGCTAAAGAACAATTCTTTTATGGGCACAAACTGCACACGTGGTATGAAAACACAGTACCTTTTCTTTTAAATAAATGGGAATCATAGTGTCAGTCTTACATTAACAGGGTTTTTATCTTCCTCACACTTGCTTCTGTGTACACCAGGATAAGCCATTTTACAGGCAGAATGAATATCACATATTTGAATGTCTCATTCAAAACCCGCCTGGATGCGTTCCTGTGTGATGTACTCTAGGTGACCCTGCTCTGGCAGGGGGGTTGGACTAGATGATCTTTCCAGGTCCCTTCCAACCCCTAGGATTCTGTGATTCTGTGATTTAAATGGCTGATCCCTATGCTGATAAAACTGTTTAAAATCATCACTCAGATTAATGTGTGTGTGGGGAGGTGGTATTCATCAAGACAGTATCATTTTCAAGTCTTACATCAAGGGAAATTATAATCCTCCATTCCTTGTGATTTGCTTCATGTAGAACTGTAGAAGGAAACACTCTAGACAGCTTTCCATCCCAGTGATTTCATTAATGAGCAAACGTTTTTTAGTGGCATTCAGTACCTTGAAGGACTGCAGACAATGTGTAGTTCTGAACAGGGCAGTCCTAAGGATTGAATCTAGCATATTACGCATGATTAACCTTAGTTGTCATCAAAACATACAATGGCATTTCAAAACTAATTGACATTGATGCTAGTTTTAGATTAACAGAAAGGCTGGATCACAATTCCATGAGCTGTCTTCATTTATTCCCATTTTCTTATATTTGTATATAATCTCATTTGTTCCAACTGTGAATATTTCAGATATTGAAAGAGATGCTGCCCATAATGTCTTTCTTTGCATAGGGTTAAAACCGGCAATGATCAGAAACAGGCCAGCTTGTCTTCACTTGGCTTTGAAATGCTGTATTTCAAAATAGAGAGCTGCACCCCATGTCTGCCTAAAACATGGTCTCAAGTAAACTTTTAATAAAACTATTTCATCTGCTTAAAAGTATTCTTACTTTTGACTACATTCACTAAAAAAACACTGGTAGACTTGTCCACTGAAAATAAGATGACATATATTACTATATGTAATAAGTCAGGATCCCTATTTACTTACTATAAAGTTCTGGTTTAGGGCTACCGTTGAGATCATGTTACTTCAGCTTGATTTTTAAGGAAATTAAAGTGTACACACTGACAACCGTACAACAATAAAAAAGCCAAATCCCCCCACCTACCCCAGTATCTCTTCTTCGTGGGCTTATATAGCGAGCAGTTTAAAAATAATAGTTTATTTTAACTCATATTGAAAAATACATTAGGTCATTCCATTCACATTTTGCCATATAAAAAGTGAACATAAGCTGTTTAAAATAAAAAAGTGCAACTTAACATCTCCACTCCTTTATACAATTATTTTCATGTATCTTTTTACACCAGGAAAGGATTCTTTAGCTGGAACACTTTGTAAAGGATCAAACATTTTGTCTTTATACCACATATAGCCTGTATCTTTGAAAACTTGTCCTTAACTGCTTACACAGAATGATTCATGGTGCAAATTTGTCTTCACAAGTTGTTATATGCATTAATTTATATTTTTTACTTTGTATGGGCATCTAAAGAATAGATTTATAGGTAGTGTTGAAATGCATTTTATTTTGCCTTTAAATCAATATTGCAACATACTTTAAAGTATATTCACATTCTGTATGGATGTCAAACTGTTGTCATGATGATGATTGTTTGGATGCTTTGTGGGAGGAAGGTTGTATCTCAGAGTATTGGTTTGGTTAATTACAGTTCATAGACAAAAGACAAAGTAAGTTTTGAGAACTCCTATGAAAAACAGTATTTTTCCCAAGCATTAAAAACAGCACACAAAAATCTGTAGGGCTAAGTTCTTAGGTGTGTTTTTTTACCTATTCTTAATGAGAAAAAAAGATGGAGCAGTACAGAAAAAAATTAGTGATTTTCTTCTGGAAAATGGTTTTGATACTGTCAAAATAAACTTTTCATTAGATAAAAATGTCATTTTTTTCAAAAGCTGTGTTTGGATTAAAGTCTGAAATTTCCATTTTATCAAGGAGAATTTTTTTTGTGATGAGAAAAAAACCCCATTTTGACTGACTATAATATAAAATATATGCAAGATATATATAGGTACACATGCAGGAATACAGAGCCAGCATCTGTGCTGGTGTAGAACATCTAAGTGGCTCTGAAGTCACAAGTTGTCTAACTAACATCAGCTGTGAATCTCACCTAAGAAAGAAATTTTTGCTTATCTCGTGTCTACCTCTCTGTGGAATGCTGGACACGGTTTCTGAACAACATGATTCTGATATAAATATAGTGGTACAAGTAACTACAGAGCTAACCTGAACACCAGAATGTGTCAGTGGCAAGAAAACAGAGGTATGGCTGTAACATTACTTAATAATGTAGTCGAAAGACTACTGAAGGAAAAGTCAAGCTTGTCTACAAGAAGGCTACTAACATTTTTTACAGTCCTTCAGGAAAATGGTGTTTGCAATGTAATTCTTTAAGACTACTTAAGGTTAAGACTGCTTAAAATAATGAACTTCTCAGGTCTCAGGTTAAAGCCTTCAATGTACTGGTTACAGACCAATGTGGTATTTCTATTGGAGTGAGACATTCCAGAAATGTGTTTTCTAGGTGATACTTGTTTTACTTCTAAAGGTTTTAACAAATATGTATATAAACGATGCTTCTAGAGCACAGTAATAGTAAATGTGGTATTTTCAGGCAAGCACAACAAATTCCACTATGCTGATGGCTCTGAACTTCCCTATTATTAAGAAAGCTCCCTGTTGATGTTCATTGGTACCCAGATTTGTCAAGCTGTAATGTGTTTTAGTATCTAACTGCACATTTCTACATAGCAGAGTTATATTGAACGATGCTATTAAGCAGTACTACACAGGAAATGTAGTGAACTCTATTTCAGAACCTAACTTGATTCATTTTAATTTTCTAGATACATTGGAGAATATACCATTTTGCCAAGTGCAACTCACACTTCTATATTTTACTTTCTCTGGTATGCTCTGGGCTTTTAACAGCTGTTTTCACAGCTTCCATTAACAAGAAGTCTATCCTTCAGTAAGGATTGCAGAATTTAAAGATGATCAAAAGTCTCTTCTCACAGGGAGCAGCTACCCTTGTTTTCCAGTGCTTTCTCCAGACTGTTTCAAGTGATGGAATCTTTTAATTTGTCTTGAAGAACTTTCACTGTGATATATATATTTAATTACATAGGGGGAAAAAAATCTACTCTTGTGCGTATATAACTTCAGGTGGGTGGAGCTGAACTGAATGTATGTAAAATTTTGATAGCTCCCTGGCTGATCTACCAGAAAACATATTAATCAATGCCTGTTTTGTTGAGGTCTTTTTAACGCTTGTTTCTTCTAATGATTTTGTTCCAGAGAAGAAATTAATTGTTGCCAAGGAAGTCCTTGCTACAACACTGAGGTGCACTTCTTGCACTTATTTGAATTATCAGATTCAGGATAATGCCACAGACTTCACTGGTCTTACAGGTTTGTGTGCTTCATCAAAGATAAGAATCAGGCCTCGAGATGCTTTTTTTTGCCCTACAGGCCTGTATTCTTCATCCTTCCAGAGTTACAGAACCACCTGCACTCTGTTGTAGAGCTCAGGAGTAGCAGTGATTCTTCTTCAGTATCTAATTTGGTTATCTGAGTTAAAACAGGAGATACTTCAGGCAAAAAGTTATTAATGCCTCTGTGGAGCATTCAGATATTGAAATCTTTGAAAAATGCTTGCTACGCATTGCTTAGAACGCATAGGATGTGATTAGGGGAATGACACATTTCTGTGTTAAGCCTATTTTTTGTTCGGTTTTTGTGTGGAAAAGCTAACTGAAGACCACAAGTGGTCTGACTGAGGACTTCTGAATCCTCTTGTTAATGTTGTTCTCTCAAATTTGAAACACTGCTCCCCCTCCCTGCAAGGTACCCATGGCAGATGGCCATCCTTCCTGTCTGAATGGTGACGGGCTTTCTCCAGGCTGGCGAGAATGTTGTTCCATAGGACCATCCAGTCAAGGAGGACACACGAAGGGGCCTTCCACCATTCTCTTCTGAGACAAAGCTTAGCAAGTAACTACAACAGAATGGAAGTCTGGTCAATTTAAGAATTCAGCAGAGAGGCTTCTACTGTACCTAGCGGATCGGAACTTGAGCTCATGGTAACACTGCACAAAGCTGTGATAAATGAAAGTGATTGGCAAGGCTAGTAAAACAATGCCACTAACCACACAAATTCCTCCAAGAATTCTTCCTGGTACAGTGATGGGACACATGTCACCATAACCAACCGTGGTCATTGAGATGATCACCCACCAACAAGCAGCAGG